AGCAGGGAGGTAAAAAATGCTGAGAGCAAGCAACCCCGATTCAGAGAACAGCTGAGCGTTCACAGTTCTGTACAGGTCTTGCAGCACTGCTCTTCATCTGAAGAACCCCCAAAAAACAACCCTCAGAGATTTCTAACTCCCCTCACCCCAACCCCCAACCTCTTTTAATACCAAAGCAATAGCAAGGATATGGAAACGGAGTCTGCTGAATAATAGCTTAATGATGTGAACCCTTTTGAATGGGGCTGCTTTAGTGAGAGCTGCTAAAATCCTTTCACAGTAGGGAGTGATGTGAGGATACAGGAAACCTGGATAAGCAATGGCATTAGACTGAACCAAAATGGGATGGATGCTACCAGATTGTTAAATTAAATTAAATGAGCTACATTTTAAAACCAAGTCTGAGAATGAATACTGAACACTCACATTCACATATTTTTATTGGACCAGTTATTAACGCTTTCGCTGTTGTAGTGAAAGTGGTTTTCCCAGTGTCTTGGGGTACAGAAACAGGAATGAAGAGATGAACGAAATGTATTAGATTAAATCTGAACAGCATACTTTCAAATGGGCTAAAACTGTAGAAACCAGCTTCTGTAACATCACTTACACTGAAATTTATCTTTCTTCAATGCATATGAAACTTGCAGCTGATCACAGTTATCTAGAAAGATAAAATAAAACAATCCTATTCACTTTACCCATGTCTGATGCCACACATGAATCTAGATCTCTAGGGTAGACATGCTAGTATCCTAAGGCAGCCACGATCTGCTCCTCATCGCCAAACTTTTAACGTGCAATATCTGAGATCACAATATCTGATGATCTCAGAGGTCCCTTCCAGCCCCTAAAGTCTATGAAATCTTAATGCTTGGTGTACTTGCCCAGGATTTTCTTACATTATATAAACTTGAAGGCACTCTGAGGACAGAATTCAGTCATCAGTATCTATTGTTGCCCTTGCACTTATTTCAGGTTTGCTTATACATTATATTTTGCAAGTAGATTATTCATTGTATTGGAAAAGGCAAGTTAGCATTGGAATTTGCCCAGTGTGAGACCAGCTGAGATTAATCTGCCCCTTTAGCATGTGGAAGGACCAACTGGATTTCTTCCTTTTTTTTTTTTTTGCCAGAGCTGGCTAATAAATCAGAAATATATTGCATGTACATAGAGCTGCTGGTGGAGAGAAAATAAATCACTTTTTCCTTTTTCTTTTTGGGCAGGATCAGAGCACCTTGGAATAAATGTAAGGATACATTCTGCACTAACCGAAACTACCTTGGAAAGTCATGGCTGCTGCCCCACATCTCAACTCCGATGCCCTCCGGGAAGTCCTGGAGTGTCCCATTTGCATGGAGTCCTTTACAGAAGACCAACTGAGACCCAAACTCTTACACTGTGGGCACACCATTTGCAAGCAATGCTTGGAGAAACTGCTGGCGAACAGCATTAATGGGATACGCTGCCCCTTCTGCAGCAAGATCACTCGAATCACAAACTTGGCTCAGCTGACTGACAATCTCACAGTGCTGAAGATCATAGACACTGCGGGGCTGAGCGAGGCTGTGGGGCTTCTCATGTGTAAGGCTTGTGGAAGGAGGCTCCCCAGGCACTTCTGCAAGAGCTGCAACTTAGTTCTGTGTGAGCCGTGCAAAGAGATGGAGCACGTGCAACGAGGGCACGACATCATTGCTATCAAAGAGGCTGCCGATGAGAGAAGGAAGGAATTTGGGGCAAAGCTTGGCAGGTTACGGGAGCTCATGGGGGATCTGCAGAAGAAGAAAGCATCACTGGAGGGGGTCTCCAAAGACTTGCAAGCCAGATACAAAGCAGTCCTGCAGGATTACAGCAAGGAGGAGCGCAAGGTCCAAGAGGAATTGTCTCGGTCACGCAAGTTCTTCACAAACTCTTTGTCAGAAGTGGAGAAAGTAAATAACCAGATAATGGAGGAACAAGCTTATCTGCTGAACTTAGCAGAGGTGCAGATAGTTTCCCGGTGTGACTACTTCCTGGCCAAAATTAAGCAGGGAGATATAGCTCTTTTGGAGGAGGCAGCGGATGAAGAAGAGCCAGAACTGACCAATAGCTTCCCAAGAGAGCTGACTCTGCAAGAGGTTGAGCTCCTCAAGGTGGGCCACGTGGGGCCACTGCAGATTGGGCAGGTGGTAAAGAAGCCTCGGACTGTCAACATGGAAGAATCGCTGATGGAGACTGTCGCGTCCTCGTCAGTGTCATTTAGAGAGATTGACGTGGGGCAGGAAGAGACTTGTTCTACACCAAACTCTTCACCGGCTAAGCCAAGGATGCCTGAAACAGCCTCTAGTATCCAACAGTGTAACTTCATCAAGAAGATGGGCTCTAAAGGCAGCCAGCCAGGGATGTTTAATCTTCCCGTCAGTCTCCACGTCACTGTCCAGGGAGAGGTACTAGTGGCAGATCGTGGCAATTTCCGAATCCAGGTATTTACCCGCAAGGGCTTTCTGAAAGAGATCCGGAGGAGCCCTAGTGGCATCGATAGCTTTGTACTAAGTTTCCTTGGAGCGGACCTACCTAATTTGACTCCTCTTTCTGTCACCATGAACTGCCATGGTCTGATAGGAGTCACTGACAGCTATGATAACTCACTAAAGGTATATACCATGGATGGACATTGTGTGGCATGTCACAGGAGCCAGCTAAGTAAGCCGTGGGGCATCACTGCTCTGCCTTCTGGGCAGTTTGTTGTGACTGATGTGGAAGGGGGAAAGCTTTGGTGTTTCACTGTGGACCGTGGCGTTGGCGTAGTTAAGTACAGTTGCCTATGCAGTGCGGTGCGCCCAAAGTTTGTCACTTGTGACACTGAAGGGACTATATACTTCACTCAAGGGCTAGGACTCAACCTGGAGAACCGTCAGCATGAGCACCACCTGGAAGGGGGCTTTTCGATTGGCTCTGTCGGTCCGGATGGGCAGCTAGGCCGCCAGATCAGCCACTTCTTCTCAGAGAATGAGGATTTCCGGTGCATTGCTGGGATGTGTGTGGATGCCAGGGGAGATCTGATCGTTGCGGACAGCAGCCGTAAAGAAATTCTGCATTTTCCTAAAGGAGGTGGCTACAACATCTTAATTAGAGAAGGACTCATCTGCCCTGTTGGAATAGCCATTACACCCAAGGGGCAGCTGCTAGTGCTGGACTGCTGGGATCACTGCATTAAGATCTACAGTTACCATCTGAGGAGATACTCAACCCCGTAAGGGCATTTCACTGGGTAAAAGCGCCTCTCATAGATTCTTCCAGCCTCATCACAACTTGACAGTAGTCAGTGCCATACCTTCGGATAGACTGCCATACCAGTTTGGAGGGTGGCACGTAGGGGCCATCAGTATTTTGTGTTTAGAAATCAAATAGCTTGTGTGGTGGTTGTTTTTTTTTTATTTGTACAAACCCCCCCAAACCCTTTGTTGGAGTGAAGGGTATTTGTAAAGTACAGGTTTTGTGTCCAGTGACTGATCACTCCATAAGCATCACCTCCTTGTGCTGCAGCTTCCACCACTGCATGTTTCTTTGTGCCATAAACACTGACTGACCATTGTAAATCGCTTTTCCTTGGAGGATCAGTGAAGTGATACTATTCTCACCATGATACTCGCGAGGAACTCAGTAGCAGTTGTCTGGACAACTATGATGGAAAAAAAAAAACTGTTTCTGATTACAGGACTGCAGCTGCCTAAAGCAAAACAGCCTTCCTAAACTGCACAGAGCGGCAGGTGGCTTAAAGCTGAAGAGCAGCGGCTGGCTTACTCTATCTTTCTAGTATTTAGGAAATGGTCCTCCTGGTGCCATGGGTGAACCCAGCTTGGTCCTCCTGTTTATTCAATATAAAGTGGGGACAGTGCAATCCTGGAAGACTGACAGGAGCTAGAGAACTGCTCTCTAACTGCAAGCAGGATTTTATTGTATGGAAAGAGTTTGATTAGCATGAGGAAAGTATAAAGAGTAGAGCTAGGGAGGGAAGGGAGGCAGGGTTGGTGGGAAGAGAGAATGGGATGGCAAACCTATTTAACAGAATTGATTTCAATCTGTCAGCATTCAGAATTGTTGTACTATTAAATGTAGCTTGGAAACTGTCTTTGAATGTATGGTTGGTATCTGAAACTTTGCCGGGGTGGAGGGAAAGTAGTGGGAGTAAACAAGATCAGGCGCGACAAATCGTACGTTCACCGGCACACTTCAATATGCTGCATTCCAGACCATTGCATTTACTGATAGGTTTCCACCAGTTTGCACTCTGTGTGAAAGCTACTTGTTCATAAGATACAGGGAAAAAAGGGGGGGAGAGAGGGGATTTGTGTTTTGTTTCTCAGCTCTTCCACTGGTGCTCTGCCTTTTTTCTTTTTGCTCCCCTGTGCACAGCCAAATGCTTTATTCCTCAGTGTTTTTTATGGTGGTAGCAAGCGCCAGAGTTCATGTTCATCACGGCTTTGGGCCAAATGAAGCACAAAACTGCAGCTGTGTGAATTAAGGCACCCACGGAGCATCTATGCTGGCTGATAAACACAAACCTCTGTGTGGTGCTGCTCATCTAAAATGGTTTATTGAAGAAAAGAAACATTTAAATAGGCCACAGTTGTAGAATGTTAATCTGCCAAAGATAATAGTTACACTGCAGTGCGCTTATTTGTTACCATCAACAATGTAGTTGCAAATTTTGGGGCATGACAGACAATATAAAAGCAGGTTTTATAGTGGCTGTCACATCCAACATTTTACAACTGTATTTGCCAGGGTATGAAATCTATGCTACCATGTGTGTAGAACAGGTGAATTTTTCAGTTCCCATAAACTTTCCCTTTTCTTAGCAAAACGGCAGTAAAAAGGGCCTTGCCGGAAAAGTTGCTGCTGTTGCCCTTCCACCCAGTTATTTTGACAGCTGTGGGAGCTTCAAGAACAAATGTCTGGAGCAAAGAGAACAGTGTTTTTCTTGATGCAGTTGAAGAACTGAGCAGGGGCCGGCATGATAGACCCAGGTACCCTGAAACCTTGTTAGTGTGCCCAAAGACCAGCACAGTGTGGTCCAATCCTGCCTAGGGCATCTTGGTGTTACTATAATAGAAAATCATTTTCTAGAAGAGGTTTCGGAGGACAGGCTGAACACAGATCAGTAGGAACGTGGAAGCAACCGACTGCTTAACGGGATTTAAAATTTCTTGCCGTCACCCATATGAGCTGCAGGCTATTTGTTATAGCTACAAACTTCCAAACAGGGATTAACGTCCTGTCTCTGTCTCTCTCTCTTTTTTTTTTTTTTTGGGGGGGGGGGCGGGGGGCAA